ACCTACAGCACAATCTAGCCCCGTACATATTTCAGAAGTAACTTTTTATCAGCTTCTTGAGCTCTAAGCTGTCTCTACTTTATGGGGCTTTGCACAGGCCATTGCTTCTGCCTGTAACATTTTTCACTTTTTTACATTACCCTTTTTTATTGAGTTAATGCCTATTCATCTTTCAAGTCTCAGCAGTGGGGGTGCAATTCCTTTGAGAAGTCATCTCTCATTTACTGAGCTCAGAGGTCCCGCCTCCATGAGGGGTGGGACTTAGTATGACACCTGTGATTGCACAATTAGAATAATTACAGTGTATTATAATTATACCCATAGGATTATCTACGCTACTAGCCTATATCTTCTAGGAGGAGAAGAAATCTACCTACTCTATCTATCATTTTTGTCCCTAGGACATAATCCAGTACCAGAGACATAGCAAATACCTGAGTATCTGTTATATGATTAAAAGAAAGGAGAAAAGAAGCCCTAAATGAAGAATTAACAGGCTAATAGAAAAGGAGACCTATTTCATATATAGCTATTTACTAAAATTTATGTCTTGGTGACTGAACATGGGGATAAATTAGAGAATCTAGAGTGGAGCTTCTACAATTCTACTTATTTAAGTAAAAGATGATACTGTTGTTCGAGAGGAAAAAAAATAACTCAGAGGAAGTTTGAGTAGAGAAACAAAGGAGAATAGTCCCAGCCTGTGATGTTTATTTCAAATTCAAGGTGCTAATGTCCAGTTGGCAGGTAGAAAGAGGGCTTGTTGTTGTTGTTGTTTCTTTGATATTTTCCTTTGGCTCAAAACGTAGACCTGGACTTAGAACTCATCAGTGTGTCATCCCAAAAATCCCCTTGTCAACTCATTTCTGGTCAAGAAAACTCACATACCACTGGGACTTCTGTGTGTTTTCTTCCCACACTACATCCATTTACAACTCAGTGAGTGCTTCTGGAAGGGTGTTCAGGATTCCAAAACAAATAGCCTAGGCTATTTTTAGAGGCTACTTTTAGAGGCTATAAGTTTTCAATCAAAGTGTCAAGTTTGGTTTCCTCAGAGGTCTGTCAGGTGGCAGAGGGCCATCTTCTTACTGTGGCCTCACATGCATTGTCTCTTCTCCATGTAGATGCCCCTGCTGTGTGTTCATATTTCCTATTTTCATAGGTAATTCACTCAGATTGAGTCAGAATCCACCTCAGGGCCTCATTTTTACATGATCACAAACCTGACTACAAATCCAGTCACACTCTGAGGTCATGGAGATTAATGCTTCAACATAACAATCTAGGGACATAGTTTGGCCCATAAGACTGCTACTTTTTTTCTCTTCCATGTCCCACACCACTGCCACAGAGGTGCCAGTCCACACCTGTCCGAAACAGTGTCCAGAGTAGATGTCAATGTGTTTTAGAACAGAGAGGGGGCTAATTTGCTTGGGGAGTGTGCAAAACTTGATAGGAAACCAGAAGGCTAAGTGGGAATTCACTAGTTAAAAAGGAAGAGAGATTCTAGGCTATAGGAGCTCTACACAGTTGTCACAATGTTGAAGTTCATGGGGGAGTTTGGGGACAATTAGCTGTGCTTCTGTGGAGGATGAATGTGGATAATGGTAAGAGCTGAAGTAAGAAAGGTCCACTGAGGTCATAGTGTAAAAAGCTTTTACGTTGGCATAAAATCAGCCAGTGCTTTATCTAGAGATGAACATGGGGAATTAGAGACCGCGCCAATCACTCATGCAGGAAACAATGAAATTACTTGTAAAAGGCAGAAAGATCTGAGGATGACATTCAAGCAAATAGCTATTATGTGGGTGGGGATGGAGCAGAAGTGGTAAGTAAAAGCTAGGGGAAAAGAAAAGGAAAAAAAATTCCTGTTCATTTCTAAATGATGAGATCCAGTATCCCAGGTGGGATTCTGTTAGATTGGGCTCTCCACTAACAAGGTAGAGGCTTCCCCTGTCAGACTTCTTTAGACCTGGCCAGCATCTCTCAGTCGAGTAGAAAATGCTGGGAACAGAGAAAGCTCCGTAGCCAAATGGTCAGTTAATAAGGGGATACAGTGGCAAAAGGAGCCACCAGTGACAAAGGTGGGAAAGAGTCGTACAAGGAGCTGGAGGTGTGGGTAAGGTGGGCATCAGGAAGCTGACAGGTTGGTCTCTCAGGGAAGGCCATCAGCTAGTACCTGAATCTGTTTACATTGAGAAAATAGCAGACGTGTCTAAATGCTTCCCTTCTTGGGAGACTGAGGCAGGAAAGCAGAGAACTCAAACACTTGAAAAGAAGAAGGAGTCAGTGGGCTCAGCCTCTGTCCTCTTTAATGAGCTTAGAGTGGTTGTTAAGGCCAGAGATTGCATGGGAGGAAAATATCAGAGCAAAGAGAATGGTTTTACTTCAGTGCTGGCTATAGTTCTGTAGGCCATCCATTTTCCCATCCTCACCCACACAACACCCATTGAGTAGGAGGGCTCTGAGTCCAGATGACCACTGCTGGTAGCGTGTGTCGGTCAAAGTGTGGACTATCTCCAGAGTGAGTTTGTCTTTTTTTGATGATGCCTCTAATTACAAGAATATGAGGGTTTCACTCTGGGTCTGTCCCCTGGCTCATCAGCCCTAATGGGTTAGAGGTAGCTGTGGATTTGCCTTTTGTTTGGGGTTACATGCTGTTCTCCAACGAGGACCAGGTGTGGTCAGTCAGAGGCAAGATTGTCCCTGAGGACAATTTCTCTGCTGAGGGCCACAGAGAGAATGGCATGGCTGAATTGCCGCCAGGAAGAGAAGGAAGTCTCTCCTCAGGATAAGCCATGTTCAACCAGAGAGACAAGGTCCAGCCCTGGAAGCACCCTGAGAATGTGTGAAACTGAGACCCCTAAATACATTCCCTCTATACCAACCATGATTTTTGTTTTGTTTTGGGTAGTATTGGGGTTTGATCCAGGGCCTCTTGCTTCCTAGGCAGATGCTATACCCACCAACTGATTTTAGTTATCTATTTGGAGGGGGTCTTGTGTGTTTTGTTTTTTTTTTTGGTCCGGTTGTGGGGCCTGAACTCTGGGCCTGGGTGCTGTCCCTCAGCTCTTCAGCTCAAGGCTAGCACTCTACCACTTGAGCCACAGCACCACTTCCGGCTTTTTTCTTTTTGCTTATGTGGGTGTTGAGGAATTGAACCCAGGGCCTCAGACTTGCAAGGCACGCGCTCTACCTCTGAGCCATCTTCCCAGCCCCAGGGTCTTGTGTTTTTATCTGGGGCCAGTCTTGCCTCCTGTGTAGCTAGATTACAAACGTGTACCACCACACCACGTTTGTTGGTTGAGATGAATTTTCACTAACTTTTAACAAGATTGTCTTTGACCGTTAATCTTTCCAATATCTGACTTCTGGGATTTACAGGCATGAGTCACCATGTTTGTCCCCTGTTAAGTGATTTAGTGATTAGTATCAAATATGCATTTTATTGTAGAAATAATGTAAGTATGTTACAGAAAGCCAGTGATAGGCTTACCCACAATGATACCACCCAAATGTTAGTAATGATACAATCAGAATCTTTCTCCTCTGGTCCTTTCCCATCGTAGTTCAAAGTTAGGACCTGAGGAACTCTATTTGCAAATGTCAAGCATGAGAAATTTTAGAGAAGGAGCCTGAGACAGGCAGAATTTTTAAATAAGAATTTAGTAGAAGAGGTCAGCTGAAGTCAACTCATTTAAGAAGCATTAAAAAATGGTGGTTGGAAATAAGAGGAATTAAGAATGAGGAGCTATTGTTTTGGACTTTACCAGGGAGGCTGGTGAGAAACAGGCTGAAGGCATGTGGAAATGGGTTAGAGGAAAACATGTACTGAGGACAAGACATTCATGAACCACCAGTGGAAGCTCTTGTTCTTTTAGCATTGCTTGCAGGGATCAAGTGCACCCCAAATCTTCTGATTCCTTGCCCAAAATCTTTACACATCTTATAGATGGCCCCCTTTCCCCCCTCTATGGGTAGTCCTGGGACTGCCCTGAAAGAAGAGGGCCACATTCAGCAGAAATCCAGAGAGCAAATATAAGGTTGGAAGATATTATGAATTTCTCAAAGGATGATTTAATGATTTACCTTTTACTGAACTCCATTGCTATAGATAGGTAGATAGATAGATAGATAATAGATAGGTAGATAATAGATACACAGATACATATGTACATGAATACATACATACATACAGAAAAGGAATTCTGGCCAGGTGCTGGTGGCTCAGGCCTGTAATACTAGCTACTTAGGAGGCTGATATCTGAGGATCACAGCAAAGCCAGTCAGAGTAGAAAACTGTGTGAGACTTTTATTGCCAATTAACTAGCAAAAAAAATCTGAAAGTGGAGGTATGGCTCAAGTGGTAGAGTACCAGCCTTGAGTGAAAAAGCCAAGCAAGAACAAGAGGCCCTGAATCCCAAGCCCTAGTACAGGCATAAAATAAAATAAAAAGAAATAATGTAAAATAAGGGGAATTCTGACATGTGTGATTAAGAAAAAGTTACGACTGCCAAGGAATTTTATTTCCTGGTGATTTGTCTCTGAAAGTATCACTCTATTAAGAATTATTGTTCCACAGAAAAATCTTTGGAGGACAATTCTGGAGGTTTTTCAGCTGCTAGGCTGGGCAGCCAGACCTGTAGCCTGGTATACCTCTAGTCCATACAGCAATGTAGCTCTGAGCACTTGCTTATCAGAGACAGGGGTGGGCCTGTGTGCACTTTTCCTTGCTATGCCTTTAAGAGTTTCAGGAATGCAAAGGAAGTCTGGAGGAGAGGTGGGGTCTCTCAACTGAACTGCTGGGAAAAGGATCCTGGGAAAATTTGCCGGAAACTGAACTGTGATTCCAACTCTGAGAAGTTGGGGGTGGGTTGTGTTGAGTCAGGCCTGTGATTGGACTGCAGAGTCTACTGGAGAGGAAGAATCCAAAAGTAAAAGGACACAGCTGGAGGAGGGGAGGAGAGAAAACAGCCCCCCCCCCTTCCTCCATCCACATACCCCCGACCCAGGAAGCAGCCTGCAACCAGTAGTGTCGGAGAGGGTCCGCATATGTCAAAGGTGAGGGCAGCAGATGTCAGACCCAGAGAGCTCTCTGTACCAAGTGAGCCTGTAAGGCCTCCAGGGACAGACTTGCTAACAGCTGGACTTGATCACTGAGATCATACATTGGGTGGGAATAACAAGCAGACATTGCTCTCCTGCTGTACCAAAACATTGTTCTTCAAGGATTTGCCTCAGCAGCGGCTAGAAAACAGACTACCCCCTGGACCCTTGAGTCTTCTTTGAGAAATTCCACTCCTGGGGAGTCTGCAGCATGATGGTGGCTCTTCCGGGAACTTCTGCAGTGCTGGTTCTGTCCCTGGCAGCATTTCTACCTCCACCACAGCGTGCACAGGACCCGGCCATGGTGCATTACATCTACCAGCGCTTTCAGGTCTTGGAGGTAGGTGGTGACTATAAGTCTTAGACAGGGAACAAGCCTCTTGGGACTGGTCTCATTTTTACCCATACTTCCCTGACTACGAAGATGCATGTTTTCCAAGTAGGAAATGTTAAATCCTTAGCTGAAATCACACTTACAAATGTGCACAGTGGTCTATCTGTTTAGGTCATGGACTACTCAGTCTGCTCCAGTCCTAGGCCTCGCACATAGATTCAGAATTATGCTGACCTGGCAGATTTTATAGAATTTTCCTTTCAAGATTATTCTGAAGATAATAAAGAGATTCACACCCTGAGAATTTGGGCGGTATTTCATGTATACTTAGAACATTGCCTGGCATGGTAAGTAACTGTCCAAATCATTGGGCCTCTAAAATGCACTAGTTCATTTTTTTAAGGAAAATTTATAGAGAATATTTTGATCACTTTTTTCATGTTGTACTATATTAAGATAGTCACAGATGTTAACTTTTTAATCTTGTTACAACAAATGATTAGATCATTGTAAAGTCTTGATAGCCTAAGTCTTGTTTTTTTTCTTTAAGAGGACAAAAATTGAAATGAGCAGATTTCAACAATTTTAAACAGAAAACATTTGGGGTTCCACTTTATTAAAATAGGCAAAACTTAATGTTTTTCTAGGGCCGACTGGGACAAATATAACTCTCTGTCCTGGCCTTTGGCCACACCCTGGTGTTGAATTTCACCATTTTATTACTTAATGTTTTGCTGGTGTGCAAGTTAAATTGATATACTGTTTTATCAATTGGCACTAATTTTCAGTATTTTTCTTGAAAATAAAATCTTCCAGTCCCAAGTTACTTGGTTGTTTAATTATAATTAAGGTTAAATAATTCAACAGAGAAGTGCAAATGATTTTCTAAAATTATATCTAACAGAAGAGGCCTGGAGGTGTGGATGAAGAGCACTCAGGCCAATGTCTGCTTCACTTGCTCCTTCCTTGGAAAGTCCCAATATTACCTACTTAACATGCTAAGATTATGTTCAGCCTTCACTACCAACTTTGCTCTTGGTGACAGCCAGTCAAATCCCTCTGTGTGCTGTCTTTCAATACTTAAAAGAGTTTTTCTACAGGCAAGAGAATCATAGACTAATACTCATAGCACCAAGTGGAACTGGGAAGAAGATAAAATTATGATTTGTATAGATCTTCCCACTCTGGTCCTAACCTGCAGGTAAAGACAAGTCCTGGATCATTTGTACTGTTGTTAACTGCAGATAGTTAACAACTAAGCAATACAATTTTTGTGCTAGAAGGCACAAAAAGAAGATACAGGTTTAGAGAAGTGTTTGTAATCTCTCTCTCTCTCCCCCTGTCCTCTTGCCCTTACCCCTCTCTTTTTTCTTCTCTCCCCTCCTCTTTCCTCCCTTCATCTTCCAATTCCTCTACTCCTCCTCCTCCAATTTCCCTCTTCCTCCTCTTTCTTCTTCTTTCTTTCCTCCTCCTCCTCCTCATCCTCTCCCTCCTCCTCCTCCTTCTTTCATCCTCTCCTCTCTTTCCAAAATGGAGCATCTTACATACTGATGTTCAGAGTATAACTTTTCCAGAAAAACATTTGTAAACCATGCCAAGAGAGGATTTCAGTATACATGCTCTTTGACTCAGCAATCCCATTTCCATTAATGTCTTCTTTCAATCAACAAGTATTTGCTGAATACCACTGTGAGCTAAGCCTTGTGCTAGAGAATGGAGCTCACTTCTGAACTCCATCCTAAGGAAATAACCCATTGAGTGCTTCAAAATGTCAATATGTTGGTTTGTTTTTTGTGGGTTTTCTTTTTTTTTGTTGGCATTGTTTGTGTGACAAGAAATGGAGAACTATATAAATATCTACCTAAAAGAGCATAACAAAAAATAATGGAATATTGTGTCGTAACCAACCACATGCTCCTTAATCTGCCTCGACCTGGAGCAACATAATAATGGAGACTGGAAGGTGGAACTGAGGTTTGGGGTACCAGGGGACCTGTAGCCTTCTGCTGGCAACAGATCCCAAGGTTCCATTAACCAAGGTTTTAATTGGTCTGGTATAAGGAAGTAAGGTACAAATGTCAAATTGTGACAATGTTGTGTATACAAATGGTAGGTGACCTTGTTCTGGGAAGGAGAGCTAAACAGTAAACAGCCTTCAATTTGCATAAACTTGAGTCTACCCTAGGCTTCCACACAGTTTATGGTAGAATCTGAGTTTCAGGACTGATTGACCTTTCCAAGATACTCTCAGCGTTCCAAGAGCGTTTTGGGAGAAGGCATTCCAAACTCCCAATCCTTTTAGGGTCTCACAGCTTGGATTTGGGGGCTCTCACAATACCATACAATGGAATACCATTCAGCCTTTTAAATAAAGGGCACGCAAACCTATAGATAAACTTGGAGGACATTGTGTTAAGTATAATAATCTAGCCACAAGAAGACAAACATGGAATGATTTTACTTGCCTGTTGAATCTAAAAATGTTGAACTCACAGTAACAGAGTAGAAAGATGGTGATTATAGGCTGAAGAGTAGGAGCAATGTTGGTCAAAAGACATGAAATTTCAATTAGATATAAAGAATAAGTTCAAATGATCTATTATCAGCAGGTTGACTAGTTGGTAAGCTTATACTGTATACATGAAAATTAAGAGTGTAAGCTGTAAATGTTTTACCACAAAAAAATTTAGTGTGTGGGCAGTAACATATATTTCAATTGGCTTGACTTAGCCAGCCCATAATGTATGCATCCATTCAACATATTGTGCACTATAAATATATGCATCTTTCATTTGTCAGACATGACCAATGTAAAATTATGGTAAAGATACGTATCAATTAATAATAAAATATGTCCAAAATATTTAAGTTGTACATTAAATATATTATAAAACATATAGTAAAATTATGTGTATGTTTTACTAAGAACATGAGAAAACTTAAATTTTTATATTAAATTAGCAAAAATAGCTATAACTTTAGATTATGGATGATTTTTCTTATTTATTTTTAGCTCTTGTAGTATTTTAAATTCTATGCCTCCTTTCTACTAAGCAGGTGCTATACCTCTTGAGCTATATCCTCAGTCCTCTTTTTTTTGTTATCATTATATTTCTGATAAGGTCTCACATTTTTACTACAGGCAAGCCAGCCTCAGATCATGATCCTCCTACCTATGACCTCTAGTGTAGTTAGAATCACAGACATGAGCCACCATGCCTCATGATTGAGGTGGAAGATTTCACTAACTTCCCCCACTCCTTGTAGCTGATTCTCCTGATTCCTACCTCCTGAGTAACTGGAATTATAAGTGTGAGACACTTCACCCAGATCACCTTTCTGATTATTTGTTTGTTTGTTTTTTTTGAGTAATCCTTTTCTAGGAATGATAGCTATTTTGTTGTTTGGGGAATTTAAATAACTATCAATAATTCGGTTATTTATTTTCTGCCTGAAGCAAGGACTGGAAAAATGTACTCAAGCAACAAGAGCATACATTCAAGACTTTCGAGAATTCTCAAAAAACATATCGATTATGCTGGGGAGATGCCAGATGGACACCAGTGATTATAAGAGTGCAGTAAATAATCTGGCGATGAGAGTGGAACGGGCCCAACGGGAGATTGACTACCTGGAATATCTTCGAGAATCTGACATATGCATAGAGTCAGAAGAAAAGACCCTGGCAGAAAAGCTCCTTCAGGAAGCTGAAGAAGACCAAAAGGTCCGAACTCTGCTCAATGCAAGTAAGAATGGCCTCTTTTTCTACCCCTTCTAGAACCACACCTAGAACGGTGTAGTTAGGGTGTAAGATGAGGGAAGGAATGAGAATTGGATGTGTGCTCTTTTCTGTGTATGCACTGGAAGATCAGATTGTGCTAGGAACAATTTCAGAGGGAACTTCATTCTCAGGAAGTAGCTTTTCCTTTCACAGAGTGGTGTTTCTGTAGACTCCACAGAAGGTTAGGGCTACAGTACCAGAAATAGTCTAGTAGTCACTTCTCACAGGCCTCGGCTTAATGAGTGTATGTGGTCTGGTCCTAGATCCTACCAAGGAGAGTGTGGCAGGTGAATTCTTCCATATCCAAAGCCCTGGGCCTTCTGTACTACAGAACAGCCACAAACTGGACATGGCCATAGCTACCCTTCAGGGCTGGGGACTGCTTATGTATGAGTTATTATGCATGTGCTGTTTGGGCTGGTGAGACTCAAGGGATTTGTCTCCAATCTTGTGCCAATCAGAATCACTTTGAAGCCATTAAGAATGTCTAGTAGCTTGAATCATAATAAAGTGTATAAAGCGGTAAACAAAAAATGAAAAGAACAATTTTCTTTGTGAGTCCATTTCATGAAAACAAAGAGGGAGGCAAGGTTCCCATCTCAGTCTAAATTCTGAAATGGCTTCAGGGCAACAAGGGAGACTCTATTCCTATGCTAATGATGCCTACCCCATATTCATGAAACTCCATCATCAGGGAAATAAGACACAAGCTGAGAGCCGTCATTGCTTCAAGGGTTTCATACATCTTCTCAATGTTATCCTTTTAAGAACTTCACAGGTTATTATAAGAAGAAGGGTCTGAGGGTCTTCAGAGCTGTAGATACGGCTGAGTGAAAGCCATCTAGGGCAAATGTTGTAGGAACACTAAGCTGGATATTTCAAAAGGACCCAGATAATCAAAGACTAGCTTACTGTGCTAAGGAGATTGAACTTGACTATGGAGAAACTGCAATGAACCACCGAGTTATGCTAAACAGGGTGGTGATATGAAGGAAGAGGACAAGATTGAAAAGAGGACACCATTGAAGTTTTTCTTGCAGTAATTTGGGCAAGTGATGATGTGAGCATGAAGTGTCACAGGACAGAGAAGGGCAGATACATCTGAGAGCCATTGAGATTTGGGATCCAACTAATCATTAAAACTAAAGAATAGGGCTTGGCATGTTGCTCAAGTGGTAGAGCACTTGCCTAGCCGTGGTGAGGACTTGAGTTAAAGAAATAAAGTAAATTTAAAAAAATACTGAAGTATAGCTGAAAGAGATGAGTATAGAATGTTTTCCTGGTTTTGGCTTAGGTCAGAAGCTGCTGATCCCATACTTGTAGGCTGTGGAGCTGTCCTTTGATGGTGTACCTTTGTGATTCAGCTAACCCACACCATGTTCCACTAATGGATGGGCTGTGCTGTCCAATGGGGACAGAGGAGTGTCCAGGGCATGTCTGCCTCCTGGACAGGTTTCCTTACTGCTGCTTTAATCCACAGCTCCTTACTCCACAGCTGCCAGGTAGAGCTTGTACCACATAACATGGATCCTATTATTCTGTGGGGAAAGTTTATGTTGTTATCAACAGCAAAAATATTCATTCTATCCCCCTGATCTTTTTCTATTGTGATGAGTCCTTCACAAAGTGGTCCTGCTAATCTCTGCTGCTGCTTCTCCCAAGTTCTTCACAGGTACTTAGAATTTATATTCACACATATACAATGATATATGGTATATATGTACATACATATAAATGTTTAACACAGTTAACCACACATATTTGTGTGTGTGTGTGTATGTTTGATTTCTTCAACCATACCACAAACATACAGGTCTCTTTCTTTCTAAATTCATGGAGTCTAGAACAAGGGCCTTGAATGAAAAAGCTGCAGAAATTCTTTCAGAAGAATTCTTTTACAGAAGAACCACTGGGAACAGAGGCCGGGTAGGGCTGGGTTTAAAGAAAGTGAAACACATAAACAATCCCAGTCCTATGATTGCTCCTCCTCCTGACCTATTGTTCTCAGAAGCTCTCTGTGGAGACCAGGTTTTAGAACACCTATTCAACTCCATTGTTCTGCATTGCTTCCTATTTCCCTTCTTGCATGGTTTTCTGCTTTCATAGTGTTGTTTTGATATCTTTTGACCATTTTTATGATTTGTGATGTCAGTTTTCTAATGCTATATACCAATCTACCACAGATTTTATAGCTATAATTCTACACAGGTTTATTAATTCTATATAGGTTTATAAACCCAACGTTTCAGGAATCAATACCTGGGTTGTAGATATGGACTGAGGTCCCCGCCTCTCTTCTCCATAAATAGATCACAGTACTTCTGTTGCTCCTTCAAGGCTGAGAGGACAGCTACTCTGTGTGTGTGTGTGTGTGTGTGTGTGTGTGTGTGTGTGTTGGTTCTGGGGCTTGAACTCAGGGCATGGCTCTGGCTCTGAGCTTTTTCATGCAAGGATTGTGCTCTACAGCTTGAGCCACAGCTCTGCTTCTGGCCTTTGTGTGTGTGTGTGTGTGTGTGTGTGACTAATAGGAGATAAGAACCTCCTATATTTTCCTGCCCAGGCTGGCTTTGAACTATAATCCTTAGATCTCAGCCTCTTTGAGTAGCTAGGATTAAAGGCTACCAGCACCCTGCTTGTAACTCTTTTAAGAGATATTAATATGTAAGGCCTACTAATCATAATCTTATTTTTGATTTACTTAAAAGGAACTGACTTAGAACCTTTTCCATATCTGTAAAACCCGTGCACCTTTGTAATATAACATATGAACTGCAACTTTGTCTTGCAATGACAAAGTATTATTGTTCTCCCACATGCCCAGGTCCTGCCCCCACTCCAGGAAGTGGGGAAATAAGTATGTTGCTATGTTTATGGGATATGGTATATGTTATGTATATGTATATGGGAGGAGTGGGAAATCTTGGGGTCCAGTTTTGGACTTCTGCCTGCCACAGTGCTTCTGTCTGGTAGTAATCATCAGAATCTGCCTTCTTTCTAGAAGAGTCTAGTCTTCCCAGCTTCCATCTTTGGCTTACTAAAATTATTCCAATTACAGAACTTAGAACACAAGTAAGTGAAATACACAATTTAGAATGCAAGTAAGGGAAAGTTATTTAAGTACAATCTACCTTACATTTAGAAAATAATTCCAAGTCCTTGGTACTGAAATAAATTTTGCACTGTACTTGCCAATTTCTCACAAGGCACCATGGACTCAGGAATCTAGATGGAGAATTTATCCTACGGAAGTCTGTGGAAGATTCCAAGGGCCACATTCTTGTGTGGATAAAAAGTATTAACCTCTTTTAAACTTGCAAATCGCGTTTGTAGAAAAATACTCAAGGCAATCAAAACAAGCCATTATTATAGCGATTTTATTTCCTTTCCTGTTTTAGTCTAGCTCTTTTATTGCAAGGGCGCATACAAGTTACTAGAAGTCACCCTCACCCAGTTGAATTAAACAACTCTTACCTTTTGTTAGACTGTGTTTCTTTTTTTTTTTTTTTTGGGTCCGGGTTGTGGGGCCCGAACTCTGGGCCTGGGTGCTGTCCCTCAGCTCTTCAGCTCAAGGCTAGCGCTCTACCACTTGAGCCACAGCGCCACTTCCGGCTTT